GTCTTGCCTTTGGTTACAAAACATTTTAGACTAAACTGGATAGTTTTTAGAAAGAGAGAAGAAAAAAACCTCTTTGTCACCGAAAAAAAATTTAATTATATCAGTGTTAAAATACCATATTTACATTAAAGAAATCCTTGCAAAGATATCTTTTTTTATTGTTCCTAAATTCCACACTCATAGATAGACACTGGATTACAGCACTAGCAGAATACTGTTAAAAGACAAAAGGTAAGTTTCCTTTCATGTTCTGTTCTGGGGGAGAAAAATATTGTTTCCTTGGGGGATAGGAGCAGGTCCAGAAGGCACTGTTAGGCTGCAGCACATATGATCAGGCAACTTAATTTTTAAAAACTAATTTATGTAATGAGAAGTCTTTCAAAGAAGCAAAGGACAGCAATTAGAAAGAAAGGCAGAGCTTTTCAAAACTGGTCTGCTTTCTTTGATATTTTAGAGCACTGCACTATGTAAAAGTCTACATATTACTAGATCAAAAGAAGAAGTCATTTCAGACTGAAAAGGCAAGAATCACGTATTTGCTCAGAGCCTGGAATGCGTGAGCCACAAACCTGATGGCACTTTCTGTGCAGTTCTTAAGTAAGAACACAGAATAAAAAAGGCCCCTAGCAGCAAACAGCCGTATCACATAAAGCTGACTCTTTCCACCTCAGGACTCAAATGATGTTACAGACCACTTAGGCATTTCATGGCATGCATTTTTAATGCTGCCAGCACTATTAATCATACTGGGTGACTGTCCATTTCTCACACCTATCGAATATGCTTTATAATGGCACTTCTGCTGCAGTCTATTATGAATCTGGTTTCAGATGTCTGGCTGAGCAGAAAAAGATGCACAGACTGAATGTCAGGTGTGGCAACCAATAAACCTTTCGTTTTCAGACATAAGCCGATTGTGGACCAGTGATAGGAGACAGCATGGGGGAGAAAAGAGAAGAGAAAGGCTTTGTGAAAGGATCAGCAAGAAATGTTCATACATTAAGTGAAATATCATGCCTGTGTGAAATCTGGAGAGGGAGAAAGGGCATACTAAGAGGACAAAGAAGATCTGCTCATTGAAGATGTGCCTAAAAGAAAGAGTGAAGAAGTAAAAGTAGGGAA